TTGCCTCGTCGAAAAGGGACCCTGGCAACTCCAGTCGGCACTGCCGATCGGGCTGTTAAAAGTCAGATCAGCGGCACAGCAGGGGTCCGTGGCTAAGGCAGGTTCCCTGACTGCCCTAGCGCTACACGGCTCCCAGAAGCAGCCGTTGGGTTCACGCGGCCCCTAGGCACTGGAGTGGCCAGAGAAGCTCCGTGCGCTGCCCCTGCCCCAGTGCCAACTCTGCAGCTCCCATAGGCTGGGATCTGTGACCAATGGGAGCTGCAGGGAGGGAAACCTGCGGGAGCAAAGGCAGTGCGCACCCCACAGAGCTGCTGCAGGCACCCGGTGGCTGCTTCCTTGAGCCCCGGTAAGTGCTGCCGGGACCCCGAACCCCTTCATGGAATTAAAGAATCATAGAATATCAGGGTTGGAAGGGACCTCAGGAGGTTCTAGTCCAACCCTCTGCTCAAAGCAGGACCAGCCCCAACTAAATCATCCCCGCCAGGGCGTTGTCAAGCCGGGTCTTAAAAACCTCTAAGGAAGGAGATTCCACCACCTCCCTCGGTAACGCATTCCAGTGCTTCACCACCCTCCTAGTGAAAAAGTTTTTCCTAATATCCAACCTAAACCTCCCCCACTGCAACTTGAGACCATTACTCCTTGTTCTGTCATCTGGTACCACTGAGAACAGTCTAGATCCATCCTCTTTGGAACCCCCTTTCAGGTAGTTGAAAGCAGCTATCACATCCCCCCTCACTCTTCTCTTCTGCAGACTAAACAAGCCCAGTTCCCTCAGCCTCTCCTCATAAGTCATGTTCCCCAGACCCCTGATCATTTTCATTGCTCTCCGCTGGACTCTCTCCAATTTGTCCACATCCTTTCTGTAGTGGGGGGCCCAAAACTGGATGCATCACAACCCCCTTCCCCAGCCTGGAGCCACGTCCTGCACCCCAAACCCTCATCCCTGGCCCCACCCCAGAGTCTGCACCTCCAGCCAGATCCTGCACCCTCCTGCACTCTGAACCCCTCGGCCCAGGCCCGGAGCCCCCTCCCACACCTCAAACCCCTCATCCCTGGCCCCACCCCAGAGCCTGCACCCCCTCCCGCACTCCAAACCCCTCGGCCTGGGCCTGGAGCCTCCTCCCTAACCCCAATCCCCTCCCCCTCCCACATCCCGGTGAAAGTGAGTGAGGGTGGGGAAGAGCGAGCTATGGAGGAAGGGGGGATGGAGTGAGCGGGGGGTGGGACCTCAAAGAAGGGGCGGGGCAGGGCAGGGATGTTTGGTTTTGTGTGATTAGAATGTTGGCAGTCCTAGTGGGTCCGTGGGAATGTGGGTCAGTGGGGACGTAGGGCACTGGACAGATGGGAGCCTGTCTGGTGAGGGATAGAAAGATGGATTAAGACCTTGTCTACATGAAAACTGGACCCAAAATGACGAATCCTGTGTGGTTCCCAATCCCCAATGGTGATCTCAGATCATGTCTGGGCTGTCAGAATTAGATCTTCCTGGTTCGATACAGGTTTCAGAGTAGCAGCCGTGTTAGTCTGTATCTGCAGAAAGAACAGGAGTACTTGTGGCACCTTAGAGACTAACACATTTATTTGAGCATACAGCGAGGGAAGGGGGGGTCCCCACTCCTTAGCCTCTAAAATTCCCCTCTCAGGAATGACAGTGATGATTGATGCTGAGTCGGGGGGGGGGGGTGATCACTGAGGCGCTGTTTCATCCCCGCCCCAACAGATGCCGGTTCTATTCCCTCAAGGGAAACCAACCTGACCCAGCCTGGAGCGGCGCCGGCTCCCACCCGCCCGGGCAGCACGGGGCCAGGTACCGGGGCTGCGCGGGGATCACAATCGAACCAGGCCCCACTGCACCTCTCCCACTGCCAGGCCCCAGCTCCCCTAGAGCCTCCTGCCCTGCAGGTCGCTGCCAGGAAGCTGTGGGGGATCCCAGGGGCTGGGCAGGGGCTGGGGCGCTGGGCCCTGCTGGGCACAGGGAACAGCGGGTGATTTCCCAGCCTCCCCCCCCGTGCACTG